GGGGGGCAATGTTGAACAGTTCATATCATTGTTATCAAAATCAAGTCGCTTCCTGAGAAGCTTTTCGTTTAATGCCAGAACTCATCATTTGGGTCAACAACACTCCTCGCCAACTCTTGGGCTACTCTTTACAAATGAATAATGTCAAAATCTCTCGTATATTATATTTAAATATAAATAATTAGGCACAAAAAATTTAGTTTTTAGATGATACGAGCCTTGATATTTAGATTAAATGTTTAAATCAAATGTGTACGGTATTTCTATTTTAAATTCATGGCCAAGCTGATAAGACTATCTGTTGCCGTTTCTAACTTTAAATTACTGACCAGAGGGGAAAGCAGCCAATCAGCAGCACTTTACAATCGACCACCTACGTTAAGGGATCTACTGTTACTCTTATAACGCACATACAGCTTAAAGTTCGGGAAATATTTTGTGGTATAGCACAGATTCGAACTCGGCTCACCAGCTCCAAAATTCGGAGCTCAACTACAGAGCGAACCTTCTCCTAAAGTTTGTACAGAAAAGATGTGTGTCTGTTACTATATAAATTTCTTTATATTGACGTTACTGGAATTATCTATGAACGAGTGATCCGTTTTATTTCCCAGACGTGGGTGTGCATCCTCTGCGCTGTACTTGCTATTGGTCCAGTTTTAAATCTCGTTCACCGCCTCAGCAAATACTATGAATACCACCGGATGAATGATGGCAAGGGTCTTTTCAAGCTTCCTAATTGTTCTTGGTATTGTTTTGGAGCTTTAGTTCAACAAGGTGAGGATTTAAATACTGTTTGTTTGCTTATCTTTTAAGAGAGCTTAAATAATATTGCCACCTGAGATAAGCCTAATAATTTAAATACGATAACGTGTTAAGCCTAATTACATAACACTGCCATCTGAGATAAGCCTAATAATTTAGCTAAAATACGATAACGTGTTAAGCCTAATTACATAACACTGCCATCTGAGATAAGCCTAATAATTTAGCTAAAATACGATAACGTGTTAAGCCTAATTACATAACACTGCCATCTGAGATAAGCCTAATAATTTAGCTAAAATACGATAATGTGTTAAGCCTAATTACATTCTGAAAAAAATAAAAGTAAATTAGTATTGACATAGAAACTTCCAAGAATTCGAATATCCTTCAAACCGTTTTATTTTTCCATGAAGTTTCTGAGTTTGCTTTAATACGGAATTTAACACGTTTTTAAAGTTTATTCCATAAAATTAGCTGATAAATGGGTGTTGAATTTAAACAGCGTTGGCTAATTGAGCATGTACCATTAAATATCTCAGCAAAATTGATTCAATCTCTGAATAAGGGACTAACTAGGCTGTAAATTTTATTTATAGCTTTGCACTTTGTTAAACTGATTCAAGTCTATGTTACCAGATCGTAAATATAACAGATATAAATAGTTTCAAATACTACAATTTACCCTGTTTTTTTTTCAACGTTTGGCCACCAGGTGGAATTCATCTTCCAGACGCCATTTCCGGTAGGGTACTGGTGAGCTTCTGGTGGATGTTTGTCATCGTGACGTTAACTACTTACAGTGGGAACCTGGTAGCTGTTCTGACCTTTCCAAAAATTTTCAACCCCATCGACAACGTTCAGGATCTTATTAGCAGCAAGCACTACGCCACCTGGGGTGTGTTTGAGGGAGAGGCTATCATTGAGTATACAAAGGTAGGTCGTCTTTCTCAAACCTCGTATCCTCCGAAAGAAAAAAACAACAACGTAAGTTAATCACCACATCTTTGTATACCTGCATGAAAGCAATAATATTGTAAAATCTTAAACGTTTGGAAACATTATTTCTATATTTATACCAAAACAACAACTTAGTATGATTTTAAATATTTGAAACATTGTTCACAGGTGCGATTTAATTGTAAGCCATTCATACTATTCAAACAATTATCAGTTCATCTAATAATTTTTTATATATAATAAATACCAAAGGACTAACAATGTCACTGAGTAGTGCCTGTACATTCCGCTATGGGTGCAATATAAAAGTAATACACAATCCTGCTATTCGGTCAATAGTAGTCATATAGGCGAAGAATGCTGCTGACTGGTTGGAATTTTCTCTGGCTATGGTTGAGCATTGGTGTTTCTGACACGGCCGTTTAGCCCACGTTTGGCATGAGTAGTTACACCTCCCCCCTCTCGACCCTGCCCCAGACTTGGAGTTTCTGAACTTATGGTTTATTCTGTTCAGGTTTTAAAATACTATATGCTGCATAAGTAGCAAAATCTTTGCCCTCCCGTTTATTAAGGGAAAATTATTTTCTATTGGTGCTACCAGAGATATTATATACAAACTACAAAGTTTCAACAGGATTGTTCTGATAAACATTTTGTTTTCATTTCACATAAAGCTACTCGAGGACTTTCTGTGCTCTGCCTACCGCGGGTATCGAAACCCGGTTTCTAGCGTTGTAAGTCCACAGACATATCGCTGTGCCACTGGGAGGGGATTGGGCAAAAGGAAGGTAGCTAGTCAACACCACTTACCCAAACTGTTGGGCTGCTCTAATCGAAAATTGAGATTTGACTGTCACCCTTATAACGCACCACAACCACCCCCCAAAATACAGAGTATAATTTTTTTTTTAATTTCTGGCGGCAGGGAGATTCGAACCACTACATAACACCTATACTGACAAAGCATGATCTTTAGATTGGTAGTTCATGTGACATAACATCAAAATAATCTAATAAAATTTATTTACAAAACTCTTTCTTTATTCATCTAATAAGGAGGTCTGGTAAGAAATATATATACTAAGATTTCAACCATACACTTTCTTTGCCGACGAGGCCTGTCGTACAATACTAGCACTAAACATGTCGGCTGGTTACGTGACACACAACGTATTGGTCGAAACGCAGTCATTTATGAGATATAAACTAATGTGGTACCTAATGCACGTGCTGACGAAGCATGATTCATAAATCAGTAGTTTATCTAATATATCGCAATAAAAATGGTGATAATGTTTCGTAAATCTTCCTTTAACGGCAGTATCGCATTAAGAAAATTATATTAAGATTTAAATCGTACATTTTATGATACAGTAACACGTATTTGGACCTTAAATATACTTAGAACGTAATAACAGCATATTTAATTAGATATGCTCATTACCGGGTAAATATATGGTTGGTAGCTAGCTGGCTTTGATCAGAAGTTAATATTAGTATCTACGTTTATGCTCAAGTAATGTTACTTTAGATGAAACAAAACTTTGTTATCCCATCAATCAATCGAATCGTGAAAAACTGAGAGAAAAAAAAAGAATTTTACCTAAAGCGTAAATTCATAAGTACTTTGAATATGTCTAAAGTACGTCAATTTGCAACAATAATGACGAATTTGACGAGTAAAAAAATAATCTGGATTCATCCTAGCTGTACAAGTTGTATTAGAGAACTGTGTAGGAAATTAGGCATAGTGGTTGTTGAAAAACAAGAAGTATATTATAGGTCAAACTCCTTAGTGGTTTGACCTCTAACCCTACTTCTCTTCACCTTTTATTAGAAACTGTTTACGATTCTTGAACAGAGTTGTTTAAACATTTGTTTAACAACAAGTAAATGCTTGGAATGGTCTATTCTTTCATTGGGGGTGTGTGTCAGTGACCCTGAACACGACCACCGAGTGAAATTTCAAACTAAATCAAGCCTTTATAGTAGTGAGGTATCGAAAATCGAAATGGTGTATTTAAGTGTTTTACACTCACAGAAAAGAAACCTATCATTCTATAGGTATTTGAAGAACTTGTATCATTCCGCCACAATTTAATTCATCGTATTTTTAGCCGACACTAGGCAGCTGATACACTGTTGAACAGAGTTGTTTAAACATTTGTTTGATGGTTTGTTTTTTGTTATTTAAGATCTTTCACATATTTCTCCAGAATGCTGAAGCTGGATACCTGAAGGAACTCTACAGAGGAATGAATTACTTCAGTGACATGGAAAAACCCGAAGTTTTGCAACGGGTTCGAGAAAACTACCTGGTCCTCATCAGTGTCAAAACGAAGCTTCTAACCATCATCGAAGAAGAACTGAATCGAACCAACGACTGTGATTACTTGCTGGCCAGTGAAGAGATCCTCAGAGAACCAGGTTCTATGATTGTACCCCAGAACTGGCCGTATCTACACCGATTTAATCTAGAGTAAGTATAAATCAGAGAACCAGGATCTGTTATTGTACCCCAGAACTGGCCGTATCTACACCGATTTAATATAGAGTAAGTATAAAACAGAGAACCAGGATCTATTATTGTACCCCAGAACTGTTCGTATCTACACCGATTTAATATAGAGTAAGTATAAATCAGAGAACCAGGATCTGTTAATCTGTTATTGTACCCCAGAACTGGCCGTATCTACAACGACTAACTCTGGAGTAAGTGAAAAAATACAACTTTAGGGGTTGGGTGGGTGAAGATATTCTTGAGTGTGATATAACTGTATCTTTGAAGGATGTAATATTAAACACTTCTAACAGTTAATTCTTCCGCTAAAATCTGAGGTTGGATTCCCTAGACAGAGTACAGATCGTCTGTCGTGTAGCAACGTGCTAAAACAACAACACCTAATAGCTAAAAAAATACTTAATAATGTTACATAACATTATATCACACCTATTATAACCTTCAACAGGACCCCTGGGGTCCTTTGGGAACTCCAATATCTCATATAGAGAAGCAATAGTAACTGAAGACATCGACTAGAAAATACAGGAGGAAAAAATAAATTTTACTTGAAATCACTGGATGTGGAAATTGATGTTCATGTGCGTTGTTGAAGGTTAAGATGAGGTGGAAGATGTGATGCCTTCCACCTCATCTTAACCTTCACCATCACATCCTCCACCTCATCTTAACTTTCAACAACACATCTTCCACCTTATCTTAACCTTCAACATCACATCTTCCACCTCATCTTAACCTTCAACACCACATCTTCCACCTTATCTTAACCTTCAACATCACATCATCCACCTCATCTTAACTTTCAACAACACATCTTCCACCTTATCTTAACCTTCAACACCACATCTTAACCTTCAACATCACATCTTGCACCTCATCTTAACCTTCAAATGTGTTGAAGATTATCATGAGGTGGAAGATGTGGTGTTGAAGGTTAAGATAAGGTGGAAGATGTGTTGTTGAAAGTTAAGATGAGGTGGAGGATGTGATGTTGAAGGTTAAGATAAGGTGGAAGATGTGGTGTTGAAGGTTAAGATAAGGTGGAATATGTGATGTTGAAGGTTAAGAGGAGATGAAAGATGTGATTTTGAAGGTTAAGATGCGGTGGTAGATGTAGTGTTGAAGGTTATGAGGTGGAAGATGTGGTGTTGAAGGTTAAGATGAGGTGCAAGATGTGATGTTGAAGGTTAAGAGGAGATGGAAGATGTGATTTTGAAGGTTAAGATGAGGTGGTAGATGTAGTATTGATGGTTATGAGGTGGAAAACTACTGCAGTTTAAAATCATTAGATCTTTATGATATAGGAAATATCAAACTCTTTGACACTTTCGTTTTTTTCTTTCATCTTAACTATCCTGTAATTTTCAACCCTTGCTACACGTTACAGTTTATAAAGTCAATCCTTTCTACAGCTAATACGAAACGATAAGATCAGTGCGCTCGAAATCGATGCGATAAGAATTCCCCATACAATAATAATGTTTTTTTTAATTCATTAAATTGGTTACTATCTTCCTCTGGATAGCCTCGTTGACGTAATTAGTCAGGCAAACGCAATATTTTAGCATTTTTCTTTTGTGTGTGTGTGGAAGAAACACAACGTTGAAAACTTCTTTACGTTTCAAAAGTAAAGATTCAAGCTGAGACGTCCACAACATTGTCCACTTTTATAAGTTCACAAAACTCTGTTTCAGTTATTAATGTTCAAACGTTAGTTTTGCCTTCATCGACACTGATATTGACAAAATATTTTAATAAACCTTACATCACTGAATTCACACACAACATATATATATATATTACAGTTTCCTACATCGGTATATAAACATAAGACCGGTGTTTTGTACGATCAAACATAGTGACCAATTCTAGCTGTGGCATAGCGGCTCCTAGAACAGCTCTGGTTTTTTTTTTAAGTACAAACTTTTAGCTCGTAGCTCCGTCATCTCTTGATCGATTTGAAATCTAATTACATTTTTGGACTCAGGAAGTCAAACCCTTTTCATTGATGTATTTGACCACGCCCAAGGTCTCGTAGATTAATCTACTCTAGTCTTGCCTAGAAGAGGGTAGGCTGAGTAATAAAACTGAATCGACTACACGCGCGCCCCACGCTTGGTATTGCTGGCGCACAAAAATATAGCTAATAAGAAATGTAATAAAGGTATTATGGATTAATTTACTCTAAT